CAACAATAAACAACTGGGCTGCACCGGTATCTCTTAGTATTTGAAGGGGCTTCTGATCCCCTGGTTCACCCGTTAACGAAACTGACTCTTTCATGATAAATGGTTCATAACTAGGATCAGGAGTATTTTCAAAAGTCAAAGGAATGGCAGCGTGGGAAACAACATTGCTAAGCCCTACGCTCTGGCTTTCTGGGTACTTTGTTTACGCTTAAGCGTCATACAATCGGCAACGATATGACCTTTTCTGTGACAATAAAAACATTCATGCTCCTCTTTAGGATGTGGGGGACTAGTTTTTACTGGGGGAGACTAAGGTTGTAAACTGGGAGTAGACAAAGTCTTCTCTGGATGCGCAGACATGAAAATGTTTTTGGGCGAATACGTAGCCTACGTACTACGATTACAGCACACGCTAATACTTGAGTGGACACAAGAGCTACAATGTAATTCTATACCATTGTATAGGAATGCATGCTTCGAATGCAAGTGACCAATTGTATTTAAAAAAAAGTTAGCACCAGCAAATAGGGAGGTAGGAGAATGTGCGTGATTTTGGAACAATGCCAATGTTGTAAGCACAGGAAAGGATAGAAATGTGTACTACGAACGCTGGGAATCTTGTGAGAACAGGAAAGCGTGATAGATACAGAAAAATATTTAAGAACTGTTCTAGGTTAATTTGAGAAAAATACACTAAGCGTCTCTGTGTTTCACTCCCATGCACATGAAATAAAAACTTCTTTGAACTTCTGAGACAGACTCCTGAAATGGAAACGGGGAAAAATGCAAGCTAGCGGACTGCTAAAGTTGTTTGTTTACTGTTGGCAATAGAGCTGACACGTATTATGTGTGGAGAAAAAGCTGCTGAACAGTCACTCATAGAATTATTGATATGGCGGATGATGTTAAAAGTACGCTGATAGAGCGCGTTAAGATAAGCAGATGCTTTTCACTGCAATTAGATGAGTCTATAAATGTAGTTGATTTGGCCAATTTGCACGTTTACGTTCGATATGAGTTTGAGGGCGTGTCCCATGACGACTTTCTGTTCTGTAAACCGCTACCAACAGGAACTACAGGAGAGCACATATTTCAGCTTCTGAATGAATTTATCAAAGAGAATTGCATCGACTGGATGAAATGCGTCGGAGTTTGTACAGACGGTGCTAGAGCGATGACAAGCCGAAAAAAGCGGTGTAGTTGAATCAGAGAGGTTGCTCCAGATATGAACTGCAGCATCCACCGCGAGCCCTTGGCCATCAAGAAAATGCCTGTTAGACAAAATCTGTTAGACTCTGTTCTGTATTGTATCATGGCTCGACCAAAGAATTCACATCTGCTTTGCTCGACTAAACAGGCTCACCCCTTTCACTGAAATGGTGCTTTATTTTTAATTGCTGTTGTTCCTTTTGTCATTCTGTAAATCATTTTGAGAAGCCACCTTTAAAGGCCCTATATCAAATAAAGTTTATTATAATATTTATTATATATGTGCGTGCGCACGCGCACTCATGTTGGTCATTTAAATTTTCAGGGATTCCTATGAAAAGATGACTTGTAGGTGGTACTTGGATACTTTGGTTTGATCAGGGGTGGTACTTGGTCCAAAACGTTTGAGAACTACTGCTCTAGTGAATTCAATACGTTTGGCCCGACACTTTTTGATGATTTTGGAATCATTGTCTATAAGCTTCAGGAACCAGTTTATATGCATGTGGGATTGCAGCCTTCACAGTATGGTAGTGCAAACTTTCTTCCAGAGAAAGTGTAGAGCAAACTTTCTCAGCTTTGCCAACTAATCTACACTGCAAAAGCAGTGACCAGACCTCCTTAGGCCAGTGAAGTGATGTGGCAATTCGCTCAAATGCATTAAAGTACGAATCAACTTCTGACCTCCTGAACAGAGGAACTAAAGCAATGTGCTTACTTTCATCGAAGGTGGTCGAAAGTGGATCCTGCAAAGGAGACATGTTAGAGGCCTCGGAGTGGGTCAGCTGCGCAGCAGGAGCATTCCTTCTTGCTTCTAGTTCAAGCTTAACCTCTTTCTCCGCCTCAGTCTTTATTTTACGAATTTCAAGGCGCAACTCAAATTCTACCTGTCGTGCCTGGGCTTTTTCCTGTGCCTTCTTTTGCAAGCGAGCCAGACAAACTTCCAGGCGAATCTCGCTTTTTGACCCAGTGGAGACCGGAGAGAACGGTTCAAAGAGAGGTAATGTGCCCTTGACCTCAGCCTCCACTAAGTCTTCAGCCACCACCTGCACCTCATCCTGTTCTTCCTTTGCCATAGCAGGTTTAGCACCAGCCCCAGGAGAACCAGCGTCTTTGCTCGCTAGTGCAAAGACCTCTAATTCCACCAATTTATCAATCACAGCTCTCTTGATATTTCTTTTAAGATCATGGTTCGATACCTGAACCCTGAAGTCCACAAACTGATTTAAAGAGGTACATTAGTAAAGCAGATACAATGAAGCAATTGTTTCTTTATCATCCAACAAGTGCCACCTATTGATCATCTTTGGCCAGTGAATCACACAGCCGATTCACACCACAGCGCGGCAAATGCTGATTAATGCGGCAATGAATTTTGCCACACATTCTGTGCAGCTCCATACGTAAACTAAATTGTGTTTTGGTGACTGGTGAAGCTGTGCTCCACCATTGCCAGGATTCAAGCACAGAGCAAAAATAGTGCCACAGTATTTAGACACTGGCAAACTGTGGTATGTGAGAAAAGGGGGTCCTGTAAAACACCAGAATAAATACATTTTTAAGAACAATAACAATAACAATAACAATAATAAAAATAATAAAAAAAATTTTAAACAATTTCTACATGGCTGTGGAATCAAAGAGTGTTACAGTTTCAAAAACGTACAGCTGGTATGTTATTATCCTGGTAGCAATTTCAAGTCTTCTCAGCAATTGCACTCAACTTTGCTTTTGTAAATAGTGTATCCATCCTGTAAATGTATTAAACTTTGATTATTTAACTTGTATTAATTTACAAATACTGTATAAGGGCTAAATAAAGGAGTTATTATTATTCAGGTTTGGAAATAATGGAGTGAAACATTGGGAAGAGTGTAATATAGTTTCAGATCCTTTTACCTGATAGGATATTCCAATGTTTCACATAAGGGTATTATAGGGCACTTGACGTTTTACAGTGCAGTACAATTCTTACCATCGGAGGAATCTTTTGTTGAACTGTCACCTTCATTGTAAAGCACCTTGAGAAGTTTTGACATGAAAGGACTTATATGAGGTTTTATTTTTGAAATTATTAGAATTTTACATATTCATGGTCAGGTTTGTAGTTTTTATGTATTTACTCATTCTTTTTATTTGTCTTCTGCCATAGTGAAACTATGTAATCAGCCCCAGCTGCGCTGTATTTACACGGCAGATAAGACAGCTTTCAGCAGCCTCTAAGCCATATCAGAAATGCTTCACCTTAGCCATTGGGGTCCTGGAGTTAAAGCAGCAGAAAGAGTGTCATTGGCCTAGAAGGAAGTCTTTCAGATGGATCTTTAACATTTTCAATAGCATCCGTTGATAGCAAGTTGCAATAGACACGTTTCAGGACTGGCACCAATGGTTCGATTTAAATTGAAAAGGCCAGAGGTTGAAGTCTCTAAAGCACTAAGCCTGAAGATGTGAAGCACGCTCATACACTATTCCCAAGAGCTTAAATGCCTCACTGAGCATCAGACAAGTTATAGATTAATGGAAAGTTCTGCCCTTGTTTAAGACACATTGTTTGTTGGAAACTTTCCCATGTGGCATTTAAAACCAAAGAAACTTCAGAGGTGACTTTCTAGCAGGAAAAGCCAGGGGACACATTTCTATATCTATTAAATCTGCCGGCTGTATACCAAACAAGAGGTGCTGAAGGCCCTCTCTTTGCCTTTCTTTGCCCGTTGATTGAAGGTAGAGTCCATCTAATACTAGCCTTTGAGGTACAGTGATCCATTAACAGTAAAATAATAATAATATTTCCCAAAGGGGTAGCTGAAATACACACAAAAAGATATGCAACACAAACCATAATCAAAATAAACAATTGATTGTACGACTTACTTTTATTTTGCTTTGTATTCACATTTTTATTTCATTATCTTACATTGTGATGGTAATATACTGCACAGTACTATATATATACTGCAGATGGATGGCTCATTCCTTGATTGTACTGTCTATTTTTTTACATAATAGAGGACCATTGGTTGGAGCACGTTCAACCAACCAAACCAATGGTTAAATATTTTACATTTTTATTATAATCTTCAATAATAAATGTAACTACTTTTCCATTCTGTTTGTAGAAACCACTGTAGAGTTATAATGAATAGTTTTCAATGACATACCCTGAAAGGGTTTAATCTGTACTCTCAGCTTCAGGCGAATAGACAGAATACTGTATATGATTAACACCTCTTTAAAAGCAAGGGTGATTTTAAAGGTAAACAGCTATTAATTTCTCCAGATGTCATTTTTAGAGGTTAAGTACTTCTTGACTCCTAGCTACCTGTTTTTCTTTAAACTGGTCCAAAATATTTCAAAGTAGTTTAAAAGCTTTTTTTCCCTCAAAAAAAGTGCAAAAGTGCATCTTTTCATACAGTACATTTTGACCAGTAAATCAATAGGATGTTATACCATTATAGCCTAGGTAAAGTTATAATAAGAAACTGGAACTATAGATATACCTTAGGGTGGTATACAATTCTTTTGTCACTCATTAGTTTCCACCCTATGTCTGTACTTCTCCAGAGCCATGGGGGTGCTGATGTCTAAGAAACAGAGTGTGGAGAAGGTGCAGAAAGTCAGTGTGGTGGTGTCAGCCTTCAAGGATGGGCTGAAGGACAGGCCGCCCCCAGCCCGCCGGCCTGAGGCTGCCGAGGCCCCTGTAGAGGCAGAGGACAAGCCGCCGGAACCTGTGGCCCCTCAGGAGGAAGACAACAAGCCCGGGGCCTCCAGCTCCCAGCCTCCTCCCAGGGATGAGTGTAAAGTCAATCAGGAGGCGTGGTCTAGACTCCGGGATGGCAAGGGGGTGGAGCCTGAGGAGCTGGAAAGAGCCAATCAGCTCACTCCTCCAGCATTTGTCCGGCCAAAGAGAGACTCCGATGATGACCAACCTATTGAAATTCCTCTGGAAAAACAAGAACAGGTGGGTTATGTAAACTGCAGTTATTGTACATTGGTCAAAATATGTTCTATGTAGGCAATCGTTAAGTTCTTTTAGGCATAAAACAATCAAAACTTTAATCTGATGGATGGATGAAGCTACTGTACCAATGCTTTAGGTGGTGAATTATACGCCACAATGAGATAAGGTACACAATTGCACAGCCAAGGACTATAAGAGGCTTTACTGTATATTGCTGAGATTAACAGAATGTTTTTTCTGTCCCTTTTTACAAAGGTTTACTTACAGTTTGCATCTCAAAATGTTTTATCTTCAGGAATAAAATGCACACAATGGCTACAGCCATTCTGATTACTGAGCCTGGATGAATTGTACTTGAACTGATAGATCATTAGACATTGACTGCATTTGTGGAGTCTTGGAACATCTACTTAGAAAAACACTGAAATCAACATCTGAAGTGTTTCAAATTTATACAAATTGAATTAATCAGTGATTTACAGTTGGTGTTAACCACATCTAATTAAAATTTTGTAGTGCTTCCTTTTTTTTAGACTGTAGAGTTTGCAGACAGCACTGCTTCTGGAAGAAACAAGAGCTTTGTTTCTGGTCTTCTTAAGAGACAATATTGCAGGACCATAGGACTATAAACTAATGTACTTTTTAAAAGGAAAAAGGTACACAAAAACAACAGCAAAGTGCAAGGCCCATCATTTCACATAATTTAAAACAAGCATAATTCATAAAATCAGATTTCAATGATTGGATTCATGAGATTGCATGTTGGAGACTGAATACAGATTTAAATCTGTGCAGTGTTGAAGGAGTGCAGAGTTTCTGCTTGAGGATTCGTAACTGATTGAGTTTGATAAGGCAAATCAAATGTAACTAATGTTACAAATGTAACGTCTGGAGTAACATCTTGTAATTAACTCAGTCCTGCATGTGAATGCTGAGGGATGCTTCAGGCTTCTATTTGCTGCTATGGATGTTAAAGTTCTTACAGATGTTTTAGGGGCAGCCAAAATTTATTCATGTCAGGTTAGGAGGTAACTTCACATATGACAGCAAGAACTAGCATTTCTGTCATATTTTATTTTCTAGAAGTACAGCTATCATATATCTGAAAATCAGAATACAATGATTGCAATGGCCATCTCTATCTCTGGACTTGGACCCCATTGCAATCTGTGATTTGATTTGAAGAGGGCAGTCCAGAAGCATAGACCAAGGATATTAAGGATATGGAATGATTCTGTATGGAAAAATTGAATAAAATCCCTCCCACTGTGTTCTCCAATCTACTAACACATTACAGAAAAGGGCTCAGTGCTGTTATCCTTACATGTGTAGGGTGCACAAAGTCCTGAAAAGAAGTTTGCTAATAATTGTGGAACTTAATTTTTTAGGAAATAAATTTACAATTTGAGAAAACTGTCATTTTTATTGATTCCATTACATACAGTAATTAATAAAGTAAAATATAATCCACATATTGGAAAATTACAATATACTGTAGATGTTGTTTATTTAATAAAGCATTTTTTGCTCACTTTTATCAAAAGTGCTAATAATTTTGGAGGTGACAGGATGTTCTCAGTATAGTTGCCTCTGTATAAAGACTGTGAGGGCATTTACTCTCTTATCCCTAAAATAATTCAATTGTTGAATTGTCGAATGAAAAAAAAGAAAAAAAATGCTTGAGGGTAGGGTTCTCATTGTTGACTCTTTACAAGGCAATTATCTGTTTTTCTGTTGAATAGTATTATTGCCACATATGTTCATGAGCTCTTGATGTGAAAAGCAAATTCCCTTAGGGACAATAAAGGCTAAAGGGTTTTGAGGCACAGTGTAAATCGCAACTCAGACTGAGCTTCTGGTTTTGGCAAGTAACATACATACAGTAGGTAACACAGGCTTCTTTTATCACAACAAACTACTGAAAAACTGGAAAATGTTGCTGCGATTCCCTCTCTTTATTTTGAGGTTTCTTTTTAGCTTGAAAGAACAGAAACTGAAGTGTAAAAATATTTTTTTCCTAATTATCACCTCCTCCTTATGTAGTAACAATTACTTGGGTGAATGGAAAGAAATGTGAAAGTACTGTCCATGGTTGCTACTTAATCGAATCTCTAAGGTGATAATGGAAGAACACAAAAGACAAAAACCCCCTAGACTATATTTTGTGTTGTACTTTGTTTTACCTTTGGAATAATTTTGTGGTGCACTGGGCTCAGCAAGGTTGTTCAATGTTTCATCTTTGATGTCACCAGCCATCTCTCTCTATGCTCCAGAGTAATATGCTTGTTTCAGCCCTCCAGCTGAACTGCAGAGAGCTCCTGTGTTGTCAAAGTTAATACTCATTACAGTGAGCACCATACAGTAAAACGGCAGAGCTAATGTGGCCCAGATGCCAAGCTGTCTTATATAGCCAGTTTGATGCAGTGGTCCCAGTCTTCAGAACTTAATGCAAGAGGGATTAATCACAAACAAGATCACCAAAGGTATGCAGAGACACCAGTGATCAAAGCAGGATGGTTTCTTAATTTATTTCAAAGGGTTAATACATATGTGCATCCATGAGAATCTTCCTCCTAGAAGATCATAAGAGGATTTACATGCTTAAAATGTCATAGTATGAAGTATTGCATTTTCATCTGTAAAATTGGAGATCTAAGGAAAAGCACAAAATCCAAGTAGGTTGTTTGGTGTGAAGTTCTGAAAAGTGTATACAATTTTAATTTTTGGAAACACAATTCAAACTATTTTTTTATTTTCCTTTCTTTTTTCATTTTAAATTTCTGTTTTCTATGAGTATTTTTTAGATCAAGAGGTGATGCAATATTATACAATAGCGCAATATTTTCAATATTATCCTCTATTTTTGATAGCTCTATATTTAACTGTGGTTTACAACGAACGTTTTTTTTTTCTGACATTGGTCTTTTTTGAAGGCATCTTGTAATTTAGTGAGCCTTAAAACATCATCTTCACTGATTTGCAGTTTGTATTTTATTCTCTTGAGAAGTGGCAGATTCTAGAAATATCAGCACAGGGAGATCTTCGCTGGTACTGGTAAGAGCCACACAACAGATGCAAAAATGTAAACATCAGAGCAGGCTGAACGCTCGGATGTAATTTTCTGCTGACCCTGCCTCGTGTCCTTTCGCAGCCAGTGAATGATGAGATATGTGAGATCTGTGAGGTGTGGACAGCAGAAGACCTGTACCCCTGCCGGGTCTGCACCAGGGTCTTCCATGATGGCTGCCTGCGTGAAATGGGCTATCTGCACAGTGACACCCTGGAAGACCTCACTGAAACAGCACACACAGCCACGGGCTGGAGCTGCTACTACTGTGTAAGTCCGCACTGCCTCTTTTAGAGGAAAATTCTTATGTCTTGTACTTAACTTTTCCCAGGAGGTGAGAATGGCAGGGCTTTTTGTTGTGGTTTACCTTTTAACTACGATTAGCAACTCAATGCTGATTTTTCAGGATTTGCAGTTGAGAAGCAAATACTTTAAGTCCTACATATGGCTCTGACTGCTGTATGTAGAAATGTGTGCGCTCACACAAAACAAGTTGAATAAACATACAGTACTACAGTTGCTGTGGATGGGAATTCCCGTATTTATCATTATTTGGTGAATAATTAATTTAATACATGTTAAGTATTTTAGCAGAAATCCAAGCATTTGAGAGTATAAAGAAGGGGTGATTAGATCTATACTGTCTTTTATCTAAGAAGTTTACCAAGCTATTTCATGAAAGAAACCAGACTAATGGGCTGGGCCACTTTTAAAGAGGTTTGAAGTATAGTAGTCAAATTTATTAAACTTCCATTCAGTCTTTGCACCTGTACTGTAGCTCAAAACAAATTACAATTATTCAAAGCTCAAATTCTAATCTCCATTTTAATTAACAGATAGTCACTGACATGCAGTCTTCCCTTGGGTGGAATGAGAACCAACCCGAAAACAGTTTGGCTCAACAAAGCACATTTAATATCAGAGTCCTTATGGTTTTCTTTCTTTTCTCTTCCTGTGAGTGTTCTTGTATTGAGACCATTTGCTTACTGAATTCATGAGGGTGTGCCAAAAAATAATAGTGATTCCAAATTGTAGTACTGTACTTCCAGAAAATGTCTTAGTGTGGAGGGTGACATAGTGGCACGGTGGTTAACGCTGGGGCCCTGGATGCAGTTCCTGGGGTGCGCCCTGTGTCAAGTTCTCCCCATGTTGGCATGTGTTTCCTCTTGGGTGCTTCGGTTATGTCACGGATGTGGTGAAGAGCAAGCCATAGAATGACAAGGAGAGCAATAAAGACCCTATGGGTAGCGGTAAAAGGGGCAACATGGGGGTTAGCCCAGGCTCAGGGGGTCAGACGATGTCCGAAAAAGAAACCAATGCCCTCAGGCCATGGACAGGAGCGACCTGGTGCTAGGCGGGTCTCAGGACATCCGTACCCTCAATGCTGGGTGAGGAGCAGAGCAGACACAGGAAGTTAACAGGCTACACAACAATACACACCGGAAAAGACATGAATAATCGCAGGGAACTAGGAACTGTACAGAAGTAGGGTGTCCTCTAGGTGTATTGGGCGTGACAGGTTATCTCCCACAGTTCAAAGACATAGCGGTAGGTAAATTGGCTTCTGGGAGTGAGTGTGTACATGTCTGTATCTCTGTGTTAGTAACATACAGTAGGTCAGAGAGTCCTAATTCAGTGGTCACTGTATCTTGAAAAGAGTGGATGCTGAAAATTAGTTTTAGATCATTGCCCCCATTACACACATCTTACACATAATGAAACAAATGAATGAAACACTCCAAAAATGGACAAAATATGTTGACAAGGTTTTAAGGCAATCAAAGTGTTCTCTGAGATTAGCTAAATTTTGGACTATATGATTTTTTTCATTCCATAGCCACTAATTGTACTGAAGCAACGTGCAAATTAGAAATTAAAAAGGAAAAGCCAGAGAACTTAACCTTGCATATAATATTTAGCCAATGACACTGGGCTCTAATATGATAAGCTATGGAATGAAATCCTTTAAATTCGTTATTCTCCTTGGTTTTCTGTTCTTTGTGTTGTGGAGAAAGCCTTTTAGTAGACATTCCTATGGGGTAGAGATTTTTATTTCTCACTTACAGCTTGATCATTTTATCAGATTTTAATTTCCGGGTGGCAACCAGTCTGTGTATACCAGAGAACATGGGAACAACACAACTACAGTGTCTGGTAAGCACAAATACGACAACGGATAATTATAAAGCTGTAATAGTGGAGCATAAACATCTTGATTGTACAGCTTCTAAGCTGGTTCCTCTCTCTTCAGTTAATTGCTGTTTTATCCTAAGATTTATGCTATGTAAGCAAATCAAATAAAACTAATTTCTAGGAAGCTGCAGTTGTTGTCATTGTGTTGTAGTTCTGTTGACTAAGGGTGTTGTTTGAGTGTGAGTTTGCATATCTTGTACAATCTGTTTAGCATGGCCAGTCTATTTTGCTACACAGAAAAAAGAAATCTGTACAGAAATCTGTCACAATTTATGATGTGGTCCTGAAATAATCATGTGGTACAAACAGTGTCTCTTTTGTTCCCCTTGCTCACTTATCTTTATGTAGATGGCAAGCAAAAACTGCTGCCATTAACTTTAAAAAATAACAGGGATTTTTTAAATAATTAATGTCTGCCTTTTTCATTATTTATGCAACAACTAAAAGCTTCTGTCCAATGCACCACCATTTTAATAAAAAACAAACAAATAACGAAACTGGCTTTCGAAAACATTTTTTCTAGGATAGCAATGACCTTTTTACAGAGCACTATAACTCACCACAATTAACTCAGAGATAAGTTGGAAATGGAATGCAGACCTTCAGGCAATCAAATAGAACTGAACTCCACAAAACAAAAAAGAGTGTGCACTAGGCACTGCCCTGACTGTTTTTCATACCTCTTTTTTGAGCTTTTTAACTGCAGGTGTGCTCATGTTGCAGTAAGGAGGGTTGAATTGCTTACACCCCTGGTATCTGCTTTCTGGCAGATGCTCAGCATTGCCATTCTCAAGAAGACGTGGGTTGAATATCATCTTGGATAGTTTATTGCAAATGCTTAAAGGATAAAGGTAAAGCAGAAATTAATCAATGCATGCAAGTTAGAGTATAGAGAGAATTGAAGCAAACAAAAACATATTTTACTGGATAGGAAGCTAAATACCTTTCATTATATACAGTACACTAGTTTTAGACATCTTAGATGCCAACAGATGTTACAAAATAAGTATGTTAGGAGCATCAACAATTTACTAAAAGGCTCCACTTCTCTTTTCTTCTTTTATATTAAATTTGTTATATAAAAAGCTTTCATTTGGTAATTTTCAATTAACATTGTTCAAAATCTTTGATTAAATGTTGATAAATCAAGGTAAGCATTTAGCTAATCCATTACATTTACTGTACCAATCGAATCTAACTATCTCATTTTCTGTTATTATAGTTGCTAAGTTTTGTTAAAGTCATTAACTTCTCTCTAGACATCCACAAAGCTAAAATGCTATTGTTTGTATTTCAGAACACATACAGTATCTATCAATATTAAAGAGGATCAGCAATGCTATTTCTATATTTCTGAAAGTACAAAGTACACATTATTTAGCCAACAACAAACACCTGACAAACAAGCTAATTACCTCAGTACTTCTTCTCCTTCAAAAACAGATTACAGAAACATTATAAAATGATTGACCCAGGAGGCTGGGACTGAATTGGCTTTGTTAAAATCTAAAAAAAAAAAAAACTATGACTTGAACTTATCAGTTAATTTTTATTAATAATGATCATTATACTTCATGGCTCAAACACTTCAGATACTTTGGAAATAAGCAGCTCATACTGTAGTTGCAAAAATGTTCTTTTGGGAACCACTGTTTACATGGTGAAAACCCACATAAAGATACCTTGTAATTGGATGGTAAATAAGAATGAAATTCACTTTGCAGCAGAAGAAAGGTATAGAGAATGTGAGATTTTGTTTTTACCCAGGATTTCTTTAAATCCCTTGGATAATGAGCATTTGTAACCTTGTAGCCATAAATCACTACAAATCAGTATCAGAGTCTGTCCTTGTCAGTTCTACATTTGCTTTATCTTTGTGTTTAATGTATCTTAAAAAACAACGCTTGTTAGAACTCTGTATTAAAGACAACATATGAAGCACTGTCCCTTTGTACTGTGGTGGTTTATTAGGGTTGGATGCAACTTTGGGGTATTTACTGTTGTTTTGTTGAGGTAGTTTCATTTTAAACCAATATGAAATATGTTCTTTCTGAACCCATTTATGGATTTATCTCCAGTATGTGCATGCTTTTTTATATTAGTATTGTATTTATTTTGGCTGTCTCTCAACAAAACATTTTTAGCCATACAAAAAGTAATGCTTGGCATTAGTCTATGCTCACAACATCGTGTCTACCAATTGTAGTCTATCCAGCAACAGAGAGAACTTCTTTCCTCCATACTGCACGTGGTCCTATGATGTATTCCAAAAACTTTAAATATCTCTTGTTATTAAATTTATACAAAGCCCCTTAAAAATATAAAGCCTTGGTGAAACTTAATGCTTCTAACTGTCTCCACAGGGAAGTCATTGATGTGCAGTGGGGAGTTATCAGTGTGGACCCTTCTGAAGTCAATGATTATCTCTTTTTTATTATTTACATTAAGAGATAGGTTGGTGTTCGTGCACCAGTCCACTAGTTGCTCCACCTCCTCTCTGCATGGTACCTCATCGTTGTTGCTAATGAAGCCCACCACTGTCGTGTCATTGGCAAACTTGATGATGCAATTTGAACTGTACATCAGTGTGAACAGCAGTGGGCTGAGTACACAGCCCTGGGGGGTTCCAGTGCTCATTGTGATGGTGCAGGAGATGTTATTACCGATCCGGACCGTCTGAGGTCTCTTGATCAGAAAGTCCAGAATCCAGTTACAGAGGGAGGTGTTGAGGTTCAGCAAGCTCAATTTTTCTATCAGCCTCTGGAGGATGATTGTATTAAATGCTCAACTGAAGTCAATGAAAAGCATTCTTACATAAGAATATTTCTTATCCAGGTGGGACAGGGCTAGGTGGAGATACGGCATCATCAGTAGACCGGTTGGGGCGGGAGTTCAAAGAGAAGGGGATCCAGAGGGATAGGGAGTCTGGACTTGATGACTAGTCTCTCGAAGCACTTCATGATCATTGGTGTGAGTGCCATGGGGTGGTAATCATTGAGGCAGGACACAGCTGACTTCTTCGACACTGGTATAATGGAGGTGGATTTCTAGCATACGGGGATGACCACATGGCACAA